GGGGAAAAAAAAGAGAGAGAGAGAGAAACCATTCTAGAAAAAGCAGTTTGTTCAGAGAAACGTGGTGGCAGGGATGAATAAGTTACATAAAAAAGAAAAATAAACTTTCTCTAGGCTTCATCCCATTTATCATAGAATCACAAAATCACAGAATATGCTGAGTTGGACAGAACCCACAAGATCATCTAGTTCAGCACTTAGCCCTGCACAGGACCATCCCCAAGAGTCACACCATGTGCCCAACATCATTGTCCAAATACCTCTTGAACTCCGTTGGGCTTGGTGCTGTGACCATATCCCTGGGGAGCTTGTTCCAGTGCCCAACCACCCTCTGGGTGAAGAACCTTTTTCTAATATCCAACCTAAATCTTCCCTGATGCAACTTCAGGCCATTCCCTTGGATCCTGTCATTGTTCACCACAGAGAAGAGACCAGTGTCTGACCCTTCTCTTCCACTCATGAGGAAGTAGTGATTCTTCCTTCTCCATCATCAGCCCCAAAAGCTCTACAGTAACCTGTGGCATACTGTATGCTTACAAATCGCTTACTTTTGTGAGATCAACAAAGCCTGTAAATCAGTACGTGCAGCATGGTATATACTGTGATATCCACCAAGAGACCAATTCGCTTACTTAAACATTTTCAGTATGAGACACTGGGAGGATCTGCTCATTCAAAAACCCTTGTTAAAACGTTGCTATCTACAAACAAAAATGATGACCCGTGCCAAACTACACAGAGGACTTAAAAATCAATTTGGTAGTTTAGTTTAAAGAAACAATTTATCTCAGAATTAAGTGGGTTATTGGCTACAAGATTCATGGGCTTTTCTTGCAATAGAGAAAGGTTGAAGTACTTTGATCTGCATTGCTTTCCCCGTGACTTGGAGTGGTAACTTTTTGCAACTCAGATTGCCGTAGAAGATAAAAGAAAGGCGTATTGGATCCTTCTCATTGCTCAAGTCAGACCCAGTGATAACGATTGTCCAGAGACCTGATGATTTCATGTTGATTTCAGGCGGTTCAGGACTAAGAGTCAATCTTCTACCTTTAAAAATTATCAAAGAGAAAGGAAAGATGACAGCATGAGAGAATGGCATAATGTAGCAGGACCATAGCTTTTACAGAACACAAGTAAGGCTCCTTTTGCAGGTTTTGTTATATCTATAGCAACTGTTCACGAAGAATAACACATCGATAACTTTTTTTCCCCCCGAGAATTTAACTGCTTAATGTTCTTTCTGTGTTTAGAATTTAGTTTCAAATGCATTTTTTTGATGCCAATGAATTTTCCTTGTCATGGTTGGAAGTAATTTCTAAGGGAACATTCTGTTACCTTTTAGAGGTCTAAGCAATTGATCTCAAAAAAGCAATCAATATTACTAAAACTAATTTATCATTTAGGAGCACTAGCTATATGTAGCATGTAGGCACCTAATGCAAAATGAACAATTCTAATGAACTTCACTCATAACTGGATCTACCCTAGCAGTATAATATGTGCTGTAATGGTGTGACTGAGAGATAGTCTATAAAAAACACACAAAATTATTTGCCAGATCCTCAGAAGATCAATATTACTATGTCCCTCTCTTTTTCTTCATTAATTACTGTTATTCTTCATTTTAATTCTGTTTTAACCATTCTGGGGGAAAGGAAAATTATTTAATGGAGGGGAATAGCTCAGAAAAATGTACTTTCTACAACCTGGAAAAACCACACAACTGAATACCTGCATATCTATCATGTATCGTGGACACCTTGTATTTTTAAGCTATCTTACTCCCTCTGGACAAATTTTTGTATCTCATTTCCTTTGCACTGAATTGTTTTCACAGGATTGAAGGAAGAAATCTTTTAGTAGTTCTAAAAGACTAAAGGTCTATAAGTGTTCTTTTGCCAAGTACATCCAGGTTTAGATTTGCACAAATTGTGGTGTAGTAGTAATTTTGAAATGAGCAGAAACTGAGAATACCAGAACTACACCTTCATGCTATGGAATAATACCACAGGTAAAGACTAGGCTCATTTCACCAAAGTAACTTTTCTTTGGATTTCAAGTGAGATCCCAAGCTGAAAAGTGATGCATAAAATTTAAGCTATTTATCCCCACGAGGCGCACATCCCAAGCTCTGTTTTATACTTCTCTTTGCCACGTGCTATATTTAATTTGGAAAGCAAGTGTTTCATACACAGCACACTGATAAGATGGAATTATATTAACTTTGACCTTATGAGATGTGGCTTTGCTATAACACTAAGACCAAACTGAAATTCACACTTTCAAAAAAATGAGCATATTATAGAGGTCTGAAAGAGCTGTAGCCAAACATATGCATGTATATGTGAACAGTCAAGTCAGTTTTGCAGAACTTACCAATTGTTACAATCTCACAAACAGTCTCACATAAGCCCAAATGAGTATCAAGCCAATTCCACAATGGAAAGACCCATTCTTTGTCTGAATCTTGTGATTCTTTGACTGTTACCATCTTGAGGTACATCCCTGCCCCATAGCCTTCTCCGTCATGTCCTATGACCACTTTTTGCAAATGACTCAGACAAACAGCTTCCACCAAAAATGAATCCACCTGAAAAACAGGGAAATACTCAATAAAACAGTATTTTGACCCAAATATTCTTGAACTTCAGGGAAAATATAAGTCTGGATTCAGCAAGGATTGAAAACTTATGACTGCTTTTTTGTAACGTTTAACATAACATCTCCCCTCTGAATCTAAAAAAGCTCACACTGATAATACCTATCATTGAATCCTACATTCATCAGTAATGGTGCATTGTAACTTCATTTGATCTTCGGACAATATGGGTCATTGCATCAATCATTTCCTATTACATTAAAATGTAATATGAAACTGTCAATCTTCTGACAGTCAGACAGTTATGACAAGAGTTTGATTCTAATCAAATTTCTATCTTTCAGGGTATTTTTAGTTTCTAAAACTTATCATACAAACATAGATATATATCTAAAAGAGTGTATTCACTGCAAGATAGATGTTAAATTCTTCTCCAATAGTCAGAAAAGCCTGTCTTTTTGTTTTCCTTACAGAATGAAGAAAAGAGTAAGGAATAGAGAGGAGGAAGTTAAGATGAAAGTGGAGAGTAAAAGACAAGAGATGGGAAGGGAAGCAGTATGGAGAAGGCAGAGGAAGACAAAAGAGAAGTAAACTCAATGAGCAGTGGATGAGAATGGGGACCACAAAAACAAGAAAAGGAAAAATGTGAAATGCAAAGAAACAAATTACATGCCCCACTAAATTTTTACTTGTTTTGTAAGAAAGCCAGGTGTTCCATATAAGGCCCAGTATAGGGTCAGATGGACCTGATGGTAGCTGGCAAAAGTTAGAAAGTTATGAACAACTGGAGCTAAACAGCAATGTCTAGGATTATAATTAACACCATAATTCCAATAAAACATTAATTCAATAGTAGGAACTTACTAAACTGGATGTTAGAGCAATTGAAAAGAATATATTAGCAAACTGATTTCTAAAAAATACAGTAGTTGCCAGAGTCTTATGCTACTTTTTAAATAAAAGTATTGAAGCAGTTTTCTGCTACTAACATTAAAATTACTTTCATATGACAAAAAAATTCTTTCTTTTTTTCTAATAACAGTTAGAACCCAACAGCAGATTGTGAGCAGAAATCATTAACTTTGATAATTAAGGTGTTTTAGGAAATAAATCTGTGCATGAATATAAATTAAAATAATTACAACAGAGTGATATCTTCTCTATATAAGCATAGTTCTGAGAAATACACAGGAATGAAATTTAGAAATTCTTTCAGTCCATTAGTGATTCCACTTTTACCCTAACAAGTAAATGTAGTAATTGTCTAATAAAATAATTTCACAGAAATTTAAACCTCTCCTAGACAATGTACATTTTGGCAGTGAGTTTTTTCAAACTTCAATGTTCAGTGAAGGAACCTCTAATAAGAAAGTCTAATTCACAAGAGAAGAATTCTGTTGCTTTTGGTCATCCAGAAACACTGTTTTTATGTGCATTCTCTTCTCTAAGTGGAATTTTTTTCTCTTGTCTAAATTTACTGACTAGTAAGTCATGTGGGAATGTTCTTCCAGAAGAACTAAATAACACTGAAATTGGTCTGTTGTGAATATCTGGAAGATGAATTCTGTGAATGTTTCAAAATTTTTGCCTATCTGTAGCCAGAGTGGGTATTAAGTGACACTTAAGGCAATGCTGACCCCTGCACATGTAAGACCACATTTTTGTACCGTTACCTTATTTCTTTGAAATTTTCTTCCTTTTGTTAAAGATGTATGAAGTTTCCTCACACCTGTGTCCCCTCTTTTGCCATAGAGAGTGATATAAACATTTGCAAACGTCTCTGCTCCCCAGCGATCACCAGTATGCACAGAGACAACATACTTACAGACTGTATAGAAAGAGAAAAAAAAAAAGCTGATTAAGTACAAGGTATATTTAAAATAAAACAGCAACACAGAGTTAGACAACTCCTTGTTTTTGTTTCTGCAGCTACCAAAAAATCTGCTATTCAGTGATTGCAACGCTGAGCTCAAAGAAGACTTTCTACTGATTTTCCTAGAAATTTGAACGAAATTGGACAATTTATACTTCTGTAGCTTAAGCTACTAAAATCTAGATAAATTCTGCCCAATTCTGTTTTATTGTGCAAGATCTGGAAAACAAGAACTCATCTGAGTTAGTTCGGGGTCTGTTAGAAACTGAATTATCTTTGCAGTAAATAGTAACTAACACAGGTAAAAGAAGACGAAGAATAAGAAGGTGATGTTAGAATAAGACATAGATGCAACATAGCATCTGGATGCATGACATGACATACAAGTATAAAAATTTTACAAAATGCACTTATAAAATTAAGGAAGGAAACTATAAACTCTTTGTCTCTATATTGCTTCTGTATAAATGAACTTCTACAGTCAGATTGGATTTTCTTCTGATGAAGACGTGAGAGCCTAAAAAAAAATTATTACCGGCTCAAAACAACTTAGGGGGAGGAGGGGAGCAGACCGGTTTTGCCAAGGTGGAATGGTGCTCTGACCTCATACCTCGCCTCCTTGAGAGTCTCCAGTGCAGCTGTCAGTCACTGGCAAATCAGGAGCACTGCCCCACACCACACCCCCTGGAACCCCTAACCCAGATCCCACATGGCTGACAGACTGGAAGCTCCACCTGAGGAGGGGGTGGCCACAGCAGTCCAGAGTAAATAAAACCAACAAACGTCACGAGGCTTCCACGTGGTCATGGCCCTGTTGTCCTTGGATTTGTGGTAGTTGGTTCTACACTGTATTTAAGGCAGTAGATATAATTCTCTCTTTCTCTCTCAACTTAAATCTGGATTGGTTGGAATTTGTTAAGTTGATGTTTTGTCAAATGCTTTATGTTGATTGAATGTTTTCTTTAAGCTTTTGCCAAGTTTCCTTATTTTCCAAAGTTGGTAAATGGAGGTGCGTTATTTTGACCTCCTGAAAATATCATCACATTTTTCCCTCATGTGGCCCCAAGGTATAAAAGAACTTAAGGCCCCTCTAATGAATCCATCAGGTTGATTTTTGGGGCCTTACATCTTTTTGATGCAAAAACCCTTCAATGAGCTCATGGGGTGAGCCTGGGGTCTTACAGAATATCATTAAGTTGCATATATATTCATGCTCACACAAAAAGAGTAACCAAAATTTTTCAAATGTCATTTTTAATGTAAAGTCTTCCTGAGTTAACATTTAACTAATGTAACACTATACTTTCTTTTAAGGTCGTGAATAGGTTTGAGGTATTCAGTGACTGAAAATTCTGGAACTTTAGTTTAACAAAGCAGTCAAGTCTCTAATTACTTTTATCTCATGTGTAACTGCTAACTTTTCTGAAAAAAAAGCAGTTCTTCTGTGTCTTCACATTCCAAGGGCATCTCTGAATATACCCTGAAACTCTCAGCATGGCAAAAAATTAATCCTTAGAAAAAAAAAAAAAGAACTTTTTTGTACAATGAGGGTTTCTTCTGACACTTATGTTAGTAAGTAAATCTATTATAAGTAATATAAGTAATATAAGTAATATAGTAAGTAAATCTATTATAAGTAATATAAGAGTAGTAATTAAATAGTAACTCTACAACAAATTATTTCCATGGTTTTAAACATGTGCTTTTCTTTAAAAAGTATAATTATACTGTTCAATTTTTCACATTGAGAATCAGGCAGAAGAGTTAGCAACTGTAAAACTCAATATGCAACTTAACTGGAAAATTAAAATTTTTTAAGTGGTCAGCATTCTTGCAGTGCATATATGAAGAAGGTTGCAATAGAGCCACTGAAGATATCAAATCCAGACAAAGCACTGTATTACATCTGTGGCATCGATTTATTTTTGAGCAGTTAATTGACAGTGTTTGTATCTTCTCAGTGGTTTTACCTGGTAAAGTTTTCTGGTCCTTGGTGACTGCAGGGAATTCTTTCACCAGCTCCTTGTCTTCTCTGTTAAGAGTAAGCCAGCAGTTACAGTCAAAGTTCAGCTCTTGTTTTGTGTGTAACTCTTCTAAGCAAAAAGACTTCAGATGCCAACCCTCAAAGCCTGGCACATCATCACAGCTGACTCGAATCTTGTATATGTCTCCCAGATCTCCAGTCTCAACCTGCAACAAATAGCATAAGAATGTGCTGTCAAGCCTGGTTCAGTTACAGAGATTTTCCCAAATCCCTGTGTAGAATTTCTAAATTTAACATTAACCAATGGAAAAGTTGAATCTGAGGCTGAGATATATGGGACGAGAGAATCAATCTTTTTTTTCATGGTATGATCATGGGTGAGATTTTCTCCCTTATAAGTGGGTCAAGGTTAAAATTAGAAAGACCTGTGCATTTAGGCACTTTAGACAAATCTAACATAAAGCTGTGACCCTACTGGAGAGAGAGCATTAGCTTACAACTAAAAGTTCTAATATCAGCAGTCAAGTGAGGTATTAGTTTAATAATGCTTACTATGAGCCTAGAATCACAGAATTATTTATGTTCCAAAAGACCTTTAAGATCATCAAGCCCAGTCATTAACTCAGCACTGCCAAGCCCACCATTATACTATGGCTCTGAGTGCCACACCTACACCTCTTTTAAGTACCTCCAGGGATGATGACTCAACCACTGCTCTGGGCAGCATGTTCCAATGCTGGACAAGTCCTTTGGTGAAGAAATTTTCAATGAATTTTAATTTTAGGTGAAGAAATTTTAGAAAGTTTTAACTAAATTCCCATTTGCTAAATGATTTGATTTAGAACATGACACTACTTTACAACCAATTCTTTGTAAAAGAGAGGAGATATTGCTGAATAAAAAATAAATCGTGAATGTCACAGAAATAACTCTGCAGGACAACAGAGTCCTGTTCCAATACTACATATGGGAAATTCAATAACTAATTGATGACTGTGGGCTTCTTAAACCATCCAACCTAGAGCTGTGGGAACTGGGATGGTTAAACTGCATGAAGTGCTAATGATCTGCATGACATTAACCACTGCTTGATAAGTTTTCTGAACAGTGGTAGCCTTTCACTGGGAAACTGCAAGAAGGACTGGGTTGAAAGTGATTTTTGAGTGAAACAAGATAGAACTGTTATTTTTAAAAGTTAACAATTATTTTTAAGAAGGATCAAATCAGGAAATATTGCAATGGCCTTGTTCTCCTCCCATATTGTTTGGGTTTTTTTTTTCTCACACCAGTCACAACATAAGATTTGGTGACTTTCCAGAAAGTAAATCCTTTGTGCACCCTATAACATCACAGCAACAAATTGAAGTTAGTCTTGCACAGTCATGCCCTGGGATTAGCAGCATCAGCAGCAGATTGGCTCCTGATATAGAGCACAGACCTCCTAACAGATGATTTATTCTGCTTCTCAACAGACCTCTGAATTTAACAGCCCTTCACTGCTGACCTCGCTTGCTTAAAGGTAGTTCATGTGTATTTGCACAGTGGACATATACATGCAGGGAAGCATCAGCTACCTTATTCTTACTAGAGAGGAACCATATAAAAAATGTGGGTTTATAATTTTGGAAGACTTGGACACCATCATTAATAACTGTTATGCAAATAAGAAATAGTAAAACATCAAAGTATGAGGAGGAACTGAACTGAAAATAAAGCAACGTGCCCAAACCATTTTACAGGAACTTGAACTGTTTATGATGTAGAACTTATGAAGAGAGGCCTTTGGTAGGAAGGAACTGCACTTGTTGACTTAAAAGATCCCTTTCAGTCTGAATTTCTCAAGGTAAGTATTATAAGTGATTGGCATGCCACTCCTACAAATTTTCAATATTCAAGACATTGTTCTTTAAGGATCAGGGAAGAAATGCTTCCTGTTTTCTATGTAAGAGCCCCGAGGCTGCATGGAACCTCTCAGCTCCTGAACTGTACCTCCACAGCACTCATAGCAGTCACACAGCATTGGTTTTACACTGAAGAGGGCATTAGACTTGTCCTCCCTCCAAAACTAACCTGCCCTGACTGTACACATTCATGCTTACAGAACTTAAGGCTGTTCCTGACTTGGTCTCTCCACTGCTGCACTATGAAAAGGGAAATACATGGGCAGAATTTCATGTCAAGATTTTTTCATTCACGCTGTCTGTGTTGCAAAGGATATCATTAGCTATGTATCATTAGCTATGGTGAACTAAGTGGACTAATCCCTTGTAAAATATGCATTCCACCTTATTAAGCTGAATGGGAATTATTTGGGTTCATTGAGAGGAGAGTGCACATCTAAACTATGGTCCTTTCACAGGCAACAAAATTATTGCTTCTTCTCTTTCAGAACCAGACTACAGACTTTTAAAATTACAGCCTGTAGATTTTCTTTGTTGTACTTTGGACCCCCATGACTAACACACAGCTACTCTAAATGTTTGAACAACTTGTTTCACAAAGCTCTCTGTTTGGGAGTCACAAAAGTACAGGACTTGGTTATTTTTATGTGACAAGGTATCTCACATTTTACTTTGCTTTCTGCTACCCAAATTTGATATTCTGTTGGTTTCTAAATTGCCATAAATACATGTGCTAAAATCCTTGTAGGAAATGCATAGATGAGATATATAGGAAAATAATCCCAGAATACAGGACAGGCTATTTAAAAACCACAATTATCCCTTTTGTTTCTAGAATCACAACTTCATTTATTTCTGTGACTACCTTTGAACCAGAAAGCACTAATTATCATACAGTTTACAATCTGTGGGATTAAAACACCAACTATTTTCAACTGGGTTTATTAGATATTTCCCTTTTTTTCAGGGATTTGTTTTTCCCCCACAGTTCTGGTCAGTACTAGTCTTTTTTGTTCAGCTCCATCACTGTAACTCAGTGCTACCATTAAATCATTTTTGAAATCCTTTTCTGAGCAATTTAATATGAACAGTTTTTCTTTAGAATATGATATGTCTTTGATCCCATAATTTGCTTTTCCCTCCATCGATGTCTATTAATTGATTTAACATGAACTTCGAAGCAGAGATAGACTTATAATCCATCACAAAGTATATCAGTGTATATCAAAGTATATCCAGTGAATATCTTTGTTTTAAATTTGTAGACTATTTGCAAGAGGACACTTTACCTTGTTCATTATTATAACTTCCTAATTAACGTTTCCATATTTATTTCTTCTGAGCAGTTTTATGTAATACTCAGAACTTGAAATTTTAGGTGAGTTGGATATGATTTGTCATATACTAAACAACACCATTTTTTCTATCACATGACTGAAAGGAGCATGTCTCATAATCAAGAGAAGGCTCTGACAAAGCCACTGGACTTTTGAATATCTCAGAGACAGGTAACTGATGAAGATGATTAGAGAATTTCATAATATTTTAAATCTTTTATTTTTGACTCACACAGGGTTTCTCAAAAACATCATGCCTAACGTAATTAAAGCTTTGTAAATTTCACTGTTTGGGGGCACATTTAAATTAGATTCTTTTTAATTCTTTTCAATTCTTTTCCCTGCAAAAAAAAGAAAGAAAAAAAAGGAAAAAAAAACCATAAATTATTCTAGTTAATAAGGTTTGGTCAAAGCACTCTAAAATTCAGATGAAGAGCCTTCTGTCATATACTCTAGAAATCCTGCTGTTTGTTGTTTGGAACATCATCTCATACTGTGTAAAACACATGGAGTATTGTATTATGTGATTTGAAACTTTCTGTCACCTCATGGTTCTTAACACAAAATAAATTCCATATTTACTGTGTATTTACAAACACTCCTACTTGCAGAGCTCTACTGCTCATTTTATACTACCTGTGCTAGTGTTTTGAAGAGTAGTTTTAGGGATCCCAATCTCACAATCTGCCAGTTATGTATCTTTGCATTTTATGGTTCTCTGAATAAGAGAATGTGCACAGTACACTAGGACTCTCCAAAGACATGTTCTGACAAGCTTACTCTGCATGCAGTCAAGAAACACAGATGACTGGTAGAAAGATCTATATACTTTACAAATCTGCTTATTCCATGTGAGATCAACAATTGATTCTTACCAGCACCAGACTATCAAGGACAAAAACTTTTACTCATTTCTTGCCATGCTAGCTTCCATCAAATCTCATAACGTTGACACATTCACCTATTTCTAAATTTATTTTTTAAAATTAAGGTGTTCTAATTAAGTTTATGATTATTTAAGCAGCTCAAACATTATGCTATAGGTTTCTGAGACCACTGAAACCCAACTGTACCTCATAGCACACTGCTATTTTCTCTTTTAATTCATTCCTTATGCTTGCTATATGCAATTAAACTACACATGTTCTTTCATAGGATTTGGTTGGACGTATTTTGGATCGAATAATCATTCTGAATATGATACACATCTGTGCATATACTTGTGTGAGAGCACCCGGAAAATCAGGAATTTAGATGTCCTTCTGTCCTCAGTGTTCAATAAATGTATCTCTGAGACCAAAATTTAGCTTACTGTTTCAAAACTATGTGAGCTGCTTATAGCACATAACCTGTTGTTCTTTTACTGCACTATATTGTTAAGGATGTTTGTCTAGGACTAGGATCTTGGGGGGAGGTTGAAAGTTCATTTACTTCTGCTTGTTGAAAAGCTGAATTCACAGCTTGTCTTCTTTGTGATGTGTTCATGTCTCCAGCCTGCTGCTACAGTGAGAAAACATGAGCAAAGCTTCTGCGTTCTTTTGCATAGTCTTAGTAAGAACAAAGAAAGGGAGAGCAAAAAGAAACTAGGTTTATTTACTCAACCACCTAAAGAAGATATGAAGATATGGAGATATCTGTGAATCCCCAAATGACCCTTTGTATCAGACCTGCTTATTCTGTAAGCTGTGCTATAAGCAATGTGACAAAGAGATAAAATTTCATGTGTAGTAAATAATGCTCAAATAGTATTAATTCCTTCATACAAAGCAATAAAAGGACACAAATATCTATGGGGAAAATATAAACACTAACCCAAAGCCAATCCAAAGTCTAAACAAGCATTCACAAAGGTGCTGGGGTGGAAGGGTACGATGGATAAGGTACTGTGGTGCCTAGAATAGTGGACTATGAGGGACAACCGTGACTGACACACAGCATTACTAGTTTTTCCTAGTATCAATCGTTGGTACTATCATTCTCCTGGTACCAATCATTGAAGTAAGGCAGCCTTAAAGAGGAATACATGCCATTTGAGAAATTACCAACTTGTTGGGTGCAGCAAAGGTCTACTTTATGAAATGATGCTTCCCAAAATTCAATCAGCTGGTGTGGTTGCTCCGTAGACAGATTCTGCCTCTACTGACCTCTTCAGTTCTGAAGCGTCTTTTGTTGCTCAGTGTGTTTCCCATGTTTTTTAATAAGCAGCTGCTTTCTTGTCTTTAAGAAATGCTATTTATCTTCTCATTTACTCCCCATAAAGTTCCTAAATTGCTTTAGCTTGTTATTTAAACTAAAAATTCAGCCTGAATGCGGTCATTAAAACGAAGCTTTGGCATAATTTTCAAAATGTAGTCTTGCCATTGTTTTCAGAATGTTTATTGCAGCCATTGAAAAGTCTTCCTGAGCTGTATAAAACTGACTTGAATTGCAAGCTATTTCTCTCATCTTGCTGGCTAGAAGCTGTACTTCATGCCAATCAACAGAATTTGCAGTGACTTAGCCTAGAAAGCCAGGAAAGAATCTGAACATTAAAAAGATGTCTCAGATGAATCCTCTCAAAGCAACAGCATGCGTGTCGGGTGTACAGGCAGTCAGGACTGTGTTAGGGTTGATTTTAATAGTGGCCATATATAATCTATTGCTGCAGAGTTCATCACACTTTTATATGCATGAATGCATTCTCCAGTGATTTATTATTATCCAGAAAAATTCTCTGCCTGCTGACCTGAGAGACAAAACTATGCTGGGGGAGAGTGGATACTACTTTACAAAGATGGAAATAAAGGAAAACAAAGCCCATTGAAGTCCCCTGGGAATGCTGCCCAATCCTTCATCTTCTGCATTCACAAATAATTATATATGGCCTTTTGAATGAACTTCAGCTCAGGAATCTTTAGGGAATTAGAAAAAATTGCAAGATGAGCTGGTGAATGCAATACATTACAAAAAAGGGTCCATTTTTCTGCCCTTGAAGGCACTGAAAATTCAAAGAGAACATTGGAGCTTGCTATAGTAGAACAGGACTGCCAACAGGAGATGACCCAAGACCTAAACTTGTGTCATTCCATCTTTGAAAATAATTGCATCATTTTTTACCAAAGTAACATTATATATATATGACTCTAGTTTTGTATACACACACACATATATATATATATATATATTGCCTAGACAGCAATGTCATGGTAAGGTCTGTTTAGTAGTGTATATTTATGACTTACAGTGAATTCATCAGTTGCTCTGGGCAGAAAGCACACATAGCCAGGGGTTTGTGGAGAAAGCAGAAGCTCATCACTTTTGCCCTTTGAGCCATAAATCACAAGGGTCCTTTTACATTCCTGTGGCTCTGGGGAATCTCCATCTGTTTTAACCTGCACTCTCCACCGTTGTGCTAAATAAAATAAAGACATCTTTAATATCAATGTATCAATTAAACATTTTTAGTGTCAATGGTAGAGAGCAATGGATGCCTTTGTTACTATTGCAACAAAGAATTTAAAGATTACCGTGAACTTACATCCTATTTAATAAAAATAGACTGGTCGACATTCTTTTTCTTGACAATAAGTATAACTTAGACTTGATAAACACAAGACAATTGTCAAAGTGGGTATGAAAGCAGAAATTAACACTAAGGAAGCAGGAAAAAGACCCTGCCTATGTTGTTGTTGAGGAGTTTTTTTGCATTCTTTATAACAAAATAGTTGCTTTAATAAAGTAATTATTCTAATACATTTCAATTCTTAGAATGTTCTTATGTAACATGAGAAAGAAAACCAACATTCTGAAAGACTTGTAGTGATCTTTTTGTAAGACATACTGGCTAATACACTACTAGTTAAGCAATGAAACTTTTAACTTTTATTCTACAATTTTTCTAAGCTGATTTGTCATGTTCGGTCTGCTCATTTGTCAGATCAGATTATTCACTAGGGTTGAATACAAAATTTAGGTAGTTCTGAAGAGATGTTTGCACTGACCTCAGCTTATGGTTTAGGCCTTTCAGAGATCATTTTTTGGTAGGTGACCTGCAGAATGCAGTTGAGAAGCTATGCCATGTGTGGGAAAAATACAGTGTTCTAGATGGACAGTATAGGTTAGGAAGTTACTTAGTGCTTGAAGATAAATCATCCCCTGAATTCAAGTGAATTATGTGTTGAAAAGATACTTGATTCTGCATAGCAAAAGGAACTTAACAGTAGAAGGAAATCAAAAACTTATGTTTAGACTGTGGGGAGTACTATGAAAATGCGATAATTCGTTAATGGCATTAATATAAAAGAGAACTATTTCATGTTTGTGTGTAAGCCTACAAAACAATATGTCGATAAAATAAATTTTAGAATAATTCAATTCAGAATTAAATTGGATGTGATTTTTTTTCTTACAGTACTGTGTACTTGTTTCATACCTTTTTCTTCCTCCTCCTGCTTGGAGATGGAGACTGGATGAAAACCTGATCTGGTTTCCTTGATTTATAATTTTCCCTTTTTTTCACCTTTTTTCTTTAGCTAATTCTGTTTTTCCTCTTTTTATAGAACATGTTTCTGCATTACATCTGACTGTTCCCTGACTCTTCTGGGCTCAACTATAAAATAGCAGGCAAATACACATCTCACAGTCAGTCTTCTGAGTTACACACTAGCTGAAAGGATCCTTCCATTTGAACTCTTTTTTTGAGGTCATTTCCAGGAATGAGTCAGATGTAGTGTGTGGAAGATCCACACTTTGCCTAATGAGGAACTTTTGCTGTTTGATATGTGTGCCAGCTTTGAATTTTATCTCCTTGTGCCAGGTTGGCATGTGGTACTCTTCAGGGTGTCACACTTGGTGAAGTCAAGCATGGTTTGAGCTTTTGCTGTTCCTGATCACTCTGAGGGTTTATAAGGAGCTTCAAATTTTCACAAAGACTCCCAACGTAGCCCTGAATCTCTTATCCTGTCCAACCATACCCCCTTTTGAAGGCTGTCCCAGGAACACAGCAGAGAGAAAATTAGGATAATTTTGCATTTTTGTGTTTCCCAAATGAACTTTTTTCTCTCTTTGTAAGATCCCTCTGCTCCAGGAAATAGTAATTCCCAAGTTGAAAGAAAGCACAGATGCATAACTGCCTGTTCCCTCCTCAAAGAGGCCACACATTCGGAGAAGGTATTTTGGGCAAGGTGATTTATTTTAATTAATAACGATGATTGTGTTTTTAATTATTATTTCAGAAGAAAAGCTAAGACACCAGTTGGGAGTTTTCCAGAAAATAAATCAGTGATCACAGATTTAAGGCCTCTTAGCATCTGCGACTCTTTTTTCTCCTACATTTACCTTTAATGCTTCTACAGTTTGGCAACTGAGCTAACCCAGACTGACTGCATTTTCTTTCAGTTCAGCAAATTCATTTAACCTGCTCATGCCTGAATAAGAAAAAAAAAACATTGTCTAATATTCTATTCGCTTAGACAGCTACTTGGCAAGGATGGATACACCAGCCAGGAGACTGATGCCAAATATTCATTGTGTTTAGTGGTTTCTCTAGGAGTGAAGTTCTGAAAATCAGATAGCTGGGCTTGAGAAGGTTATTTTCTGTGTTTCAGATGTGCGGCCACATATCATTAAAAAAGAGACTTTTCCCCTGCTATCACTGAACTGTGTTAGCTTCCTTTCAGAGTGATTAGTGTGTTAGTGTATTATTGTACTCTTGGCTAATGCGAAAAGCCAAGAGAATCAGTGTGAGAATCAATGTGAGAATCTCTAAAATGAATAGTAGGGAAAAACAGAATTCTGTGAAAAGAATCTCACAATTGTCTCTTTTTATAATGATATAATGAAAGATCTGATTTCACATTAAAGAGATCTATACAGGGATATGTTAGAAGCAGGGGTCATCTGTTGACTTTCAGAAATTAAATGGGATCAGTCATAACAATTTCCTTCCAGAAATTCTTTTAACCACTAGTCTGAAAGTTCCTTCAGTAAAAGTGCGAAAATCAAACCTGCAGTGACTTCTGCACATAGAAATCTGAGCATGGTAAAGCATAAAGTCAACATTTCATAATATAATTCAGAAAACTTAAAAAGGATGGGTTATTTTCTAGTTTTTTAGATCTGAGTAATTTATGTATTTTTAGAGGATTGCCAAAATTTTTCTTAAAATACATTATTCCAGTTTATTGGTTTTTTTACTCTGGTGTTTTTTGGTCTTAAGACCTAGGATGACATTCACACTTTGCTGGATGTAGGAGTAAGTTGCTTATTTCCTGGAGATTGTAGAAATTTGTATTGCCTTGAGGCAGAGCAGTCAGTCTGCTTAATTCTTTTTCTTAGGTATTTTTGCCTTCATCTGGCAATACATATTGTCTACGCTTTTTAGAAGCAGGACCATTCCACTTAAAATTTGGGAATTTTGTGATTATTCTTAGTGTATTAGCGAGTACTTGCAAAGTAGGGAATAATTTTAAAACAGAATTAGTCATGGTAGTATTTACTGAATATTTTCTCTTTTCTTATGAATTTTCTATATGCCTTAATACCAACAACTTTGCACAACTCAAGAAGAGCCAATACTTATAAAGTGAACTCTGTTCAAGGATGTTGAACCACACTTCATTCACCACCCACAAAAGCCCAAAAAACCACAGGACGCCCTACTGGAATCATATTACAAGAACCCATCTCCTTTAAACTGACTGCAGTGGGAACAGTATTGGAATATATTGTGTCTTGACTTCTCTCTTTGAGAGAAAATCCTTTCCAATGTGTGAAAATCCACCTACTTTGAGGCAGAAAAAGAAAATAAATAGAGAAAATAGGAGGAGAAAGTAGTAAAATATCCCTACAATGTGGAAAACTTTTAGAGAGTGTTGTAAAGTTCCATTCTCCCTTGAATCAACTTCATCATTTGAGAGCTGAGAGCACCTATCTGCTTTTTCTTCCAGGGCAATACACTTTCTCTTTTTACCTTGCATAAAATATACAAGGAGGAATCAAAGGAATACAAATAAATCTATTCCTATTCCTGATTTGCCAGAGCCTCTCCATAGTCTACAAATGTATAAAGGTTATTGAGGAAACTTGCTATGGGCATACTGCATTTTGGCAGAATCCATAGCCAGCAGCAGCAGTCAGAGGGATCTGGGATTTATGCTTCATTAAAGCTGGCATAATGCCAGCCTGGCTGACAAAGGACAAAGAGCCCTCAAGTAATCTATCCGGCAATGATGACTTTCAAAGTCTACTCTTTGGCTAGGTGGTTGAACAGGTTACCAGCCTCGTACAAAGTGAATGAGATTTCTGACCTTCAGAGTGACTTATATTTTGTTCTATAACATCTGCTTTACACCGGGCCTAAGGGCATCAATCTAATCCTGAAAATCACCAAACAACACTGAATTACGCCAATCAACTTTTTATGACTTTCTTTGAAGCCCACTTGCTGAGTGCAGCTCATAAAGAGTATGACTACAGGAATGCCTAAGATATTGGTTCCCTAACATCAGGACTGCTGCTTGCCTCTTATTCAGTAAAAATATATTATAACAACAATTTTTGCTTTCACTCTGAATGGCTCTGCTTATCACTACTGCACCATGTGAAATATTCACTGCTACAGATGCTGGGAGAATCTAAGGCAAGTACTTTTTTCTTCCAAGACTCTCCATCTCTGGAGTTCTCATCTTCACTTATCAGCTCTGACTTAGTTCTGTGTCAATCTACCATGACACAGTGCCTGAGTACAAGACATCTTTCCAAACCTCTGGTGGTTGTTACCCTCTTATAAAGCTCAGTCATGCAAGGCCCGTGGCATCACCAGTATGACAACACAAATTAAATGGTGAAAATCCTGAGATCAGTCCTACTCATTATCTTTTTCACATAAGACATAAAAGTCCAATCTCTCACCTATCTCAGTTCCTCACTGGAATGAGCCCCTGGGTGAAAGAAAGATGGCTGAAGAGCAACTCAAGTTAAGCTGCATGTAACTAAGCTGCACATAACTCAAACAGAAAACTTCCTAAAAATGTTCTTCTCCTTTATAATTTCATTTTTCAGAACCTCTGATCTCAACACTCTCTGGGTGCTACCAGACATCTTGACAGTGTGACGTATCAAAAGCTGATTAAGAAGAAACCACTCCTTTCTTCTCATACCCAATATTTTGAGTCTAACCACTCGAGTCACTGAGCAGCCTGTGCATCTGTGCCTGCTTATTATAACATAATGAAGAATGAAGCTGCACTGGAAAAAATTTGAATTGGTAGTAAAATGTAGTCTCTTATCTGGACATAAGGTGAAATAGATATCATGGTTGCCTCTCTGAACTGTGCACTTAGCAGAATGCAGAATCCAAAATCCAAGTCACTTGTGAAATTAATTTTCTATGTGGGAAAGCCTTTACTTACCTGAGTTCATCAGTCTCCTCTTGTCTAAGTTATGTTGCCATGGAACAATAAAACTGTTGGCTAAACTGTTTGACTGAATGCAAATAATTTGATTTTCACTGAAATTGAAATTAGATTGAAAGACTAGGACTCATTCTACAGAAAAAGTCACTGTTTTAAGAGACAAATGTAAATACTACATTTTGTAGTTTAGTTTCTCCCATAAAATGCCCAGGCATGGTTGCACAGAATAGCCATTTACAGCCAAGCGTTCATAAAAATATGTGTGTCAGTCTGTGTCTCTTTTCTGGTTAGGAAGAAATGAGGAGATGGTATCTCAAATTTTAAACACCTGGGAGGAACTGGTGTATTACAGTGATGAGACTGTCTTTGTAAGTATAAAACCAGAAACCTAGGTGGGTAGGTTTTTTATTAATTTTTTTTATTAATTCAAGCAGATTTAGTCAACTGAATGCATATACTACATTTAGCTTCACTAGAGGATTGGGAGTGTAAGCTGCATTATTTCTGGCTACTTTGGGATTTTGACCTGAAAATGCTTCTACTGACATTTCACAACACATTTTTCAACTTGCTGATGTTTGCTAGGGGACCTGTCCCCAAGTATTAAATGACAGTGACATTGCGGTAAACAAAACAACACTTGACTCTCTTCTCAGAGGAATTCCTTGTTGATTTCAGGTCAGAAGAGTAGAAATATGAAGAAAACAAGAAATGGTTTATATTTTTCTCAATTGGTTATTGAGGTCTAGTCCTTTCTGTAGACTGTTGCCAGACAATTTTTCTTTTTGTGTCACAGCTGATATGCAGTATAAAACATATACAAATGAGGTCACTTGCTTACATATTTGTCACAATACTGATTTGCAGGTTAAATTCAAACAGCAAAAGCTATGATATAGAAAACACTGGCTAGAAAAAAATCTTACCTTTGAGGAACGCCTTCATTGAACTGCCATCCTCTAAAATATGAACAGGAAAACTAGTTGGAATGAGCTTTATTATCACTTTTCTTCTTAAGTAATGGTCTTATCTAGAAGAGTTCTTCTTAATAACTGGATATTAAGCCTATAATATAGTACTATAACACAATTTTTCTTTAACAAAATACTTACCATTGGCAGTTAGCTCCCTTTCAGTTTTCCCATCATCTTGGCATTCATCTAACCATCTTTCATTGCAAAAACAAAAATAATAAGATTAATAAAAACTATTAGTATATTATATGTGAGCTGACCATTACCTTCTGTCTCCAACAGTATTTTTATACTTTGTTTATCAAGTTATGCCTTGAAACCTAGATCAAAGTTTATTTTATACATTCATCACAGTTAGTCTTATTCATGTTAGAAGAATTTGGTTCAACCTGCTCCAGGCAGAGGAATTCTCATCGTAGCTGTGAGAATACTGTAGTACTATAGGAAGTATATTATATGAAATGCTAATCATTTACAGCTTCAGAGATTCAGCTGTATATTTGAAGGGGTATACAACCTGCAGTGATTAGTTATATTCATTGTACTGACTGATATATAAAATTATATATAAAACCTGCCAGTCTGGAAGTTTCTAAATCTTTTGCAGATCTGCAGCAATTAACTGAACTTCTCTTTTTACTTTTCTTTTAAATTGATGAATTTTAGCAGCTTTCCTGCAATATCGTTTTACTGCAATATCGTTTTACTCCTTCAGTTGATCCTCCAAGCTCAAATAATAATCCTTCATGGCCTTCAACAATATCACTTATTTAAAAATAAATAGATACATGTTTACTATCAGCTTCTATTCTATTGACTCCATATTAATGTTTCATTTGTTAAAACCCAAGGATCCGCAATATATTTCACCTCTTATGTGTAACAAAACTCTATGAATAAATATCTTATGCATGAAGTCTGAACTCCACTGTATTTCAACTATTGTTGTAATAAATAGCTTGATTAACTTTTGGGACCTATCTCCTAATTCTGTCCTAAGAAAGAAAATATCAGTAGTAGTTTCTAAAAATAGAAAGCAAACTTTGACACATTGGCAGCACACTTACACTGCAGGCAAACAATGACAAAATTCCTCTGGTTCTATGTGTAAAGTCCCTAATCTTTTTCTAAGATCTTTACAATTTCCTCTTGAAAAGGAAGCCCAATGTTTTTATTAAGAATTCCACTCTTCAGAGAAGTCTCATAAGTTCTCCTTGAATCTAAAGAATCAATTTTCTCATTCATCTCTGCTTCCAATAACCATCTTTAATGCACACCAAACCATTTTAAAAGCTTAATACCCAGAAAGAAAAGCTAAACCAATAACCTGATCATTCGAATGATAGTCCTAAGAAGAGTAAGTGGTTCTTAGCTAGTCATTTCCAGGAACTTTGCAAAAGGAAACCCTGTGGTGGTTTTTTTGTAAACAGGTAGGATTCCTAGAAGAGGAGAGCTGTCTACTAAACCCCTGAAGATTTTCAAGACTTAAAGCACAGTTCCCAAAATAACATGAAAACTATTTTAGCTATGTAACCCAAATTTTAAGTTCTGGAAACCACATACTACAGAATATAATTATCTGGATCTAAATTACAATTTTTCAACTTATTTCTATTGCATTAAAAATACTTATGCATGAGTAACACACACAGATCCTCTATTGGCTTATTTTATGTGAGTTTTTTTTTCTGCTACAGCTGTATTATTCAACTCAAAGACAGCTAAAAGGTTGCAGTTGCCTCAGATAGTAAGAAAATTTGAAAGAATGGACTGTTTAGCAGTTGTCAGAATTGAGAGAGTTGAATGTTTTCTAATTTTGCAGATGGTAGCAAAATTTTAGACCTACTAAAATAGACCAGAAGAGATTTATTCTACTTTAAGAGGAAAAGTTAAAGGTCTTTCCAAAGATTTCCAGGATGTACATAGGGATTTCAGTGACAGAGAAAGCGACCAAAATCAGTGCAGCTAGATCTTAGAATAGAATCAGACCATTGTTTAGGTTGGAAAAAATCTTTAAATCATCAAGTCCAATCATTAGCCCAGCACCACCATGTTCACCACTAAACCATGTCTCCAAGTGCCACATCAACACATCTTTTAAATACCTTCCGGGATGGTCTTCACCACTTCACTGGGCAGCCTGTTTCAATGCTTAACAAGCCTTTTGGTGAAACAAGTTTTCCTAACACTCTTTCTAAACAATCCCAGGCACAACTTGGGGCCATTTTCTCTCATCCTATCACTCGTTACTCTCAGGAGAAGAGACCAACCTCCACCTCACCACAACCTCCTTTCAGGTAGTTGCAGAGAGAGATAAGGTTCCCACTGAGCCTCCTTTTCTCCAGACTAAACAACCCCAAGTACCCTCAATTTCTCCTCACAGAGCTTGTGTTCTAGATCCTTCAACAGTCTCATTGCACTTCTCTGACGTGCTCCAGCTCCTCAACATCATTCTTGTAGTGAGGAGCCCAGAACTGGATACAGGGTTTGAGATGCAACCTCACCAGTGCTGAGTACAGGGGGGATGATCACTTCCCTAGTCCTGCTGGCCATACTACTTCTGATACAAGCCAGAATGCCATTGGCCTTCTTGGCCACATGGTCACACTGTTAGCTCATGTTCAGTCAACAGATAACCAGCACCCCAAGTCCTTTTCCACCAGGCAGCTTTCCAGCCACTCATCCCCAAGTCTGTAGCATTGCAGAGGGCTGTTGTGACCCAAGTGCATCTCCCTCAGTACCCTTCTGTGAATCACATCCAGCCTCACAGCCTTGTACATGGCTAAGTGCTGCTGCAGGTTGCTATTTCTTATTGGATTGTGGGGGATTCATTCTGTTCCCTCTACCTTTCTTCTAGCTCAGGAGACTGGATACCAAGAGAACAACTGGTATTACTGTCAAAGGCAAAGAATACATTAAGTGCCTCAGCCTTTCCCTCATCCTTTGTTACTGTTGACCCTCACATACAATAAAGGAGGGAGATTCTCTTTAACTCTCCTTTTGTTTCTACTGTGTGGGGGTTTTTTGTGTTGGTTTTGTTGTTTTGGGGGGGGGTTTGTTTGGGGGTTTTGTTTGGGTTTTTTTTTGTTTATTTTTCTTTTTTATTTGGTTTGGTTTGGTTTTTTGCCTTGTACGGCAAGATTAATTTTTAGTTAGGTTTTGGCCCTTCTAATTTTCTCCCTTCATAACATCACAAGACTCCCTGTAGTCCTGAGTTGCCTGCCCCTTCTTCCAAAGGTCATAACCCCTCGTTTCATTCCTGAGTTTCAGCCAAAAATCTCTGTCCAGCTAGGCTGGTCCCAGCTCATCTTGCAGCACATGGCAATGGCCTGTTCCTGTGTCTGTAAGATTTCCTTCCTGAAGAATGTCCAGTCTTCCTGGTATGCCTCCCAGGGGATTCTGTGAACCAGTCTCCTAAACAGGCCCAAGTCTGCTCTCCAGAATATCAAGGTGGCAGTTCTGCTCTCCCTTACTTCTCTGAGGATCAAAACCTCTTATAATTTCACAATTTGTGTCCAAAATGGCCTCCAACCTTCACATCACTCACCAGTCCCTCTCTCTTCACAAACAGCAGATCCAGTGGACATCTTCCCTAGCTGGCTCCCTGACCAGCTGTGTCAGAAGGTTCACTTCTATAAACTCCAGGAATCTCCTAGACTGCTTCCCCTCTGCTGTGTTGTATTTGCAGCAGACACAAGTCCCTCAGGAGAACAAGGGCCAGTGATTGTGAGACTTTTCCCAGCTGCTTATAGTATGTCATCTGCCTCTTCATCCTGGTTGGGTGGTCTATAACAGACTTCTACCATGATACCTGCCTTGGCCATCTCCCTGATTCTTGCCCATATACACTCTACCTTATCATTACCATCATCAAGTTCTAGACAATCAAAACACTTCTTAGCATATAGGGCTACCCCATCACCTCTCCTTTCTTGCCTATCCCTGCTGAAGGATTTATAGCCATCCATTACAGTACTTCAGCTGTGTGAGTCATCCCGCCATGTTTGCATGACGGCAGCTGTGTAATTTCAGATCTTTATATACAATACTTCTTAAAAGACTGAGAACTAAAAGCTTAAGTAATTTCACACGGTTTCTATATAATTTAGATTAAACAAAAAGATCAATGCACCTTTCCTCTTATGAAACATTTGATTTGGGGCTTCTTTGCTTCAGGCTATGACTTCCTCCTATGTCAGTACAGCAAATTTGTTTCTTGCCTTTGATCGCAAAATTTTGCATCCCTTGTATGTTGAAAAACTCTGGGACATTGCTCATACACCTACGTTGTTTGCACATATCCATTCTGCGATTTTTTGATTACGTTGGTGGCAGGTAACAAATTATTTTTCTCCATGAATGGCATACCTATTACAAGGAAAGACAACCTCCTGAGCTTCCTCTCCTTCTTTATGTTTGATGACAATCTTATCCAGGAACCATCCATTGCCTGTGTTGAAATGACAAAAGTTTATCATGTGAAATCATGCATTTTTGTTTCTTTTTAATAAATTTTAAGAAAAAAAAGCCCAGATTATATTTTTTTAGCAAAAACATAGATCATATTAAGACATATCTCAGCTAAATAGATAAGATATATCAACAGAATGAAACTTTATTATTTTGTATCTCTTGTAAGAGATGCAGTTCTTTTCTGCCTGTTTTAATTTTAAGTGGGGGGGATTTTTTCTCTTCAAGATAAATACATGCATACATCTCTGAATTGTTCACACTGTTCACACTTCAGCCCATATCTTTTGATTCCTTGTAATCAGACACAAGGATGTTGAAACGAATCCATTTATTCCAATAATCAAGATTTGTGTGAATGCTGGAAATTTTGGTCCTCTGTGAGTGAACACCTTACTGCATATATAAAAATATTATATTAATTAACAAATCTTTAAAACTAATGCTGCCATGGAAATGGAGCGAGACTGCAGCCTTGACGGGGCTTTGTATGTCCTGGTGCCAGAAACTGGCAAAACTGAGGATCCAAGGATCCAGGAACAGCACCCAGATAGACTGAGTGCCTAAGGCCAGTTACTGGAGGTCTTATACGCCCATACTGTATAAATTTTTTATATTTGACGTTGATGGACTGTTATTCTGATCAGCTGGAGAGGGTAACAGGATAAGGCCATTGTTACTATTTGTGTATGGGTTGAGTTCCTGTCTGTGTTGTCCTGCATGGCCAACCATGTGCAGACACACGTGTTTGTGTGTATGTCTACTTGGAACACATACTCAGCCTTGCTACCAGTGCAGCCGGCAGGCATGGAGCTGTGCAGCCTCACTTCTGTCAGGCTACTGAATTCATCCTCTGCCTAACAGCAGTAACCACTGGCACATCCATGCTGATCTTTCAGATCACTTCCAGTAACCATCTTAGTGACCAGTATAGTTCTCCTTGCGACCCCCTTCTCAAATATCCTGTTCTCACTGCTCCTGCACAACTCACAACTTGTCATATTGCTTACGAGGTTTTGCGTGACTCACACCATTACCTATCAGCACATTTTAGAAAAACAACATGAGGGATGTTTTGGTCAGAAGAAACAATCATCCTATTTATTCTCATGCTCTGCCTCTCTGGCTGCATCTGAGTCTGGAAATCCCTAGAAGGCAGCAGTTTCTGTCACACAGGAAGGGCATGCCCAGGCAATGCATGGAAGAAAATGGCATCTCCCTTTAGGATTTCAGGTCCAGGGCACATTAGGACACTTTGCAAGCTGCTTCTGTCACCCTCTTACACCTCACTACTCTTTCATTGGAAAAGCCTATTAGGCTGGCCAAGATTAACTAGCAATCAGACAGGTCAATTTGAAAAAGGCCAAAAAAGATGAAAGGTACTGCCTGTGTAAATATACAGGTATATATGGAAGGTTTCTATGGAGGAAAAGCTTCTTTCAGCAGGTAAGACAAATCACCAAGTGACTCACACCAGACCAATGCCCAAACCCTGCTTCTAGGACAAAATTCCCTTACTTTCCTCATTCACAGTGTCTGTGGGAGAAGATCTGTACCTTGCAGTCTAGAAACTCTGAAGAAAACATGTTACAGTATCCTTTCAAGACAATCTCTAAATGAAGACTAAGGACCTTCCTGTCCTGTCACTCAAGCAAATGATAGGATTAGAAAAAGGGGTAGTCCCATCTCTAAAGGTACTCTCTTTCCTCTCTCTCAACCCTCAAGTGGATGAGTTTCTTGGTGGTCTCTCTCCTGAGTCACAATCCTTTTCCAGCTCTCAACTCCCCAGTAATGTCAGGCCAGGTTTATGAGGGGCTAGTTTTGGATGCAGTTCAAAAGAGGTCTGTGAGATCTGTCTGTGATAAATACAATGAACAACCATCTGAATTACCGAGGCATAAATTTTGTTACAGGAAGAATTCAATCCATTGTCCTGTTTAGACAGTCCTTCAAACCCACAGATTTGAACTCGGGTGTCAAAGAACATCTTAAGATAGCTGAATTGAGTTACAGATTTACAATTCTTATTCTGTGATAAGGCTGAACTGCCTGTTAACAGAGAGGTGAGGGAAGAGAGCATGGTACGGGGTTCTGGGGAATAGAGGGAAGGTGGGTTCCACTGCACTGTTTTCTGTGTTATGTCTAGGGCTACCAGGATGTGAAACTCATGTATACAATCACGCATTTTGCTGAAGGCAGAAAACTCTAGAGAACTAGAATGCCCCATCCTAAGGCTGCACTATTAAGGCTATTTCTGTAGTAGTCACAGCTCTGCTCAGAGCCTTAGGCAGTACAGTCAGCAAGATGGGTGTTGCTTAAGGCCATTTCAGAACAGAATAGGGTAAAAGGTATTTTCTAATCTGTTATCAGTGTGGCCCCGAACTGCTTTAAAAATTCTTCTCTTCACTTAGCTTATTCCTAGATATTAATCTGCAAACATATTTTGAGTATTTACATCTTCAGTGCTTTTAAATGCTAGTTTTCTCTTCATTTACATCATGCACACTTCAAGGGCCTGTACTGAAAATTCATCTCATCACCAAATTCTCTCTTTTTTCTGAAAAACCTACAAGCCAAACGTAATGTCACTCACTGGAGCAGCTCCACATTGACTCACACAGATTAAGTAAATAATCAAATCATCTGCTGTTGCCCAAAGCAGCAAGGACATTATGCTAGAGCTACTCAAATTTTGCCTGGTAGAAAAGCAGCTGCTGAATATCTTTAATTCCATTCTGGCCAGTTTTCACTCTTTGTCTAATAAAGGATTGTCTTACCAGTGTGAGACATACTTTTGAAAGTTTTCTATATGCAAATAAATAATGCTTTCTTATAAATAATCTTGAAAACAAAGAGTGGAATGACAGCATTTGAGATTAAACTCATGTCCATTCTTCTGACCATTACTATTGTTTTTCATCATCCCATCACAGTGATCAGCCTGCAGGAAAACTTTTTATCACTGCAAGACCTTCTGTCACATTTTGTATGAAGGATGCAATATAAACAAAGTGCATTGGGTTTAAAAAGGGCTTGAAAACAGATTGGTCTCTAGGAAGTTAAATCCTACCTGGACCAGCTCCATCATGGCTAATCAGAACTTTCTCCAAGTCTCCCAGTGAGACAGCCTTTATGCAGAAAATATCCATCTGTGGAACCATACAAGGAAAATTATAAAGGTCTTGAACACAGCTATTGCTTTGACTATAACAGAGTAGAATAGCTCATTTTTCCTCTCTCTTTCTTTTTTTTCTTCTTTTGCAAAATGAATATAGTTGTTTTATACTGGTCCTGGCCAGACAGTGAGGATCCTTTAAATCTTTCTGAGTTGAATAACACCTCAATTCTTTTGGCAAGACACAATGATTAGGTGCAAATAATTATTTACTCATCTCTATATCATATTTTCTAGTGCTATCTGCCTCAGCAAGACTAGGAAACCTGGGATATGGATTTAGAACTTGATTCTAAAATTCATGGTGATCTCTTCAGGAGAATAAAAACTATTGTTACCATTTTATCCATACAAGCAATACAAACAAGCAAGAATACTCAAATTCTACTATTTAATGCTCTCAGTAAATGATTGATTGAGCAGATAAAAGTCATCCATATGATGTAATTATGTAAGTAATTTTGAATAAAGAAAATGGTAAATGCTTGAATAAATCTTATAAATAAAAGATATTTACACTTGTTTGCTAGCCATAATTTACTCTTATTGACCAGAAGTAGCATTGTTTTTACTTCACCTGTCCACGTTGAAATTTTACATTATTATTCTTAGATCTGTGGAGCTTCCTTTTGCCAGCATCTCCTCTTATCCCAATGAGGTTGATATAAACGTTGGAATTTGTTTCAGCACCAAGTTCAGCACCTGTGTATACATGGACCTCGTACACCAACACTAGAAGAAGAAAAAATTTGAGATTATCCTTGTAGTTCTCACGATTATAAAATTTTCTCATCAAAATTTAACCTGAAGATGGCACAGGTTTTCAAGTTTACAAGTAGCAACAGCTATCTGTGAATTTTTCACTTCTAGCTTCAAATCCTTTAATTCTCTTCACAAAAATATGAAAACACCAAGCTTCAGAAACCACAGGATGTTGAGCAATGCTATGCATTGCTTGGCAAAGCAACTCATCAAGTAAGTGTTCCCTCGTACTCCGTTTCCTTCTCTCACTCGTCGTCGATTATTTGTGATTTCAGGACCTAATTCACAAAGTCTTTCTTTCCAAGTTATCTGGAGACCACCTAACTGTGCCTAGTTGTCATCTCAAACAATAGCTAATTTTCACTGGTACCAAGGCATTTTCAACCTCCAGATTTGTGCAAAACAATTATCTGGGTTGTTAACCTTCATTTCATCTCTTAAAAGAAGAGTAACAATCACAAATCCTAGCGATTTTAGATTTTCACCTCATATACAAAGGTTGGCAAGCAGATGAACAGGCTCCCTTACCTATGAAAAATGAACAGTCATCTTGCTTTTGAAGATTTCAACATTTGTCACTAGTGAATGATAACACTTTCAAAACCAGCTCTCAGCTAAAATATATTTACAACTTTTTAACGCCTCTCCTTCTAGTCTTAGTCTAGTGTTACACACAAAAAATATACATGTGTCTTCAAAGAATTCTGGAATACAATTCAGAATTACTGTATTAACATGTTTTCTACCACACTAATACTATCTTTATAATTATCCAGATATGAAAATTTATTTTAAAAAATTATTTGTACTGATCATATAACATTATATTTTATCATAGTTTTTCTTATTGTGACTTTGAAAAAAAAAATCCTGTTTGAATCTTAATGGCAATTTTTCCATGCAGTGTTTCTATTCTAATCACAGCTGGCCATTTCTGCTGCTATGTAGTAGATCACAGAGGAGATTACTGTTTCATTAGTGTATAATTTTAATAGTTCTTGGGAGTGAAGAAAGGTAATTGAAGCCCTAACAAACACAATTAAACACTACATTTAAGGAGGAACTAAGATGAAAACAGATATTAAAACAAAATGCTTGAAACTGGACAATATTAATCAAAAACTAATTAAAATACTATTACTCTTAACCCACAAAATAGCTAGTAGAATTGCCATAAATTTCTTATTCACTGGATCCCAAGACAGTTTATAAAACTCAGACATCACATCATCCACCATTACTCAAGAACAGCTATTTCTGATTCCCAGTGGAGAAGCTAAAAGAGTAGTAAAATAATACTGCAAATACTTTAGGAAAAAAAAAATACCCCCACATCTATCAAAAGATAGATTTTGATGGATAGACTCTATGCTTAAGCAAATTAAGGTATTTCTTTTAATCTGTATTAAATCATCCTGAAGTGGCAAACACAGTGTCTTAAACTCTTTATCACTGTTGCAACTGTGACCCAAAATATCAGTGGTGTTCCTGGATCAGTTTTATTATTTTCTGTAGCTTCAAGCACTCATTGCAGCTCTCACATCCATGCCTTAGTGTACCAACACCAACCATGACATACAATTGATCCCAATAACACACATACACACGTCAATTAAAAAAATTTGACAGAACATAATAAAAATTAGTTTCAAGGTTTTCAACGTTAAAAAATCATGATAAAACAAATAGTATATGTGAATGGCAATTAACAAAGATAAATCGACCTGATAAGTAGCATAACTGAGCTATATATCCAAATAGTATTTTATATCATAACTCCTAGTATAATCATAATTGGGGAAAAGGGCAGAGGATAAGGGGTGTTTGGAAGTTTGGAAGGGGAGAGGTCACGTTTCCAAAACAAAAAAATGCTAACAATTATATTAATCTGCAAACAGCCTTTTTAATAACAGGTCTGTACGACCCATGGAGCAAGATTCTGCAGATAGTAAAAGCAGGGCCATATTCATATGAAGTCTCCTCCATACTTTTACACACTCACATTCTTAGTTTTGAAATTGCAAAACATCTGTGGGAGCAAAGGAAAGAGTATAGACTGTTTATGTTATGACTGTTTATGTACAAAGACTGGTATTTGTATTATTTACACCTACAAAATCTTTGTCATGATCAAAAATAAAATTTTTAAGTAACTATAAGATGAATTTTACAGTATATTCAAGGCTTTATTTTACGAAGCCCTTTAAAAATAAATGTTTACAAAACCAAAATACCAACAAATACTTTCATTTCTGGAGGGAAGATACACAAGAACAGAACAAGAGGTAATTATAACACAACATGAAGATATTAACAGATAAATAAATTACAGTTCATTTTATAGCACTGTGCATCTCTGTGGTAACTAGAGAGATGATAATGATCTAATCAAATACTGCTTTCCATTTCTACAAGCCTAAATAAATCAGTCTGAAGTATAAAATATACACATGCTGAATTTTAAAAAAACTGGAAAATATTTTTCAAAGCTCCTTGTGTCTATACATCTCTCACCATCTGTAAAATGTTAGGTCTGACATTTATTTAGTCTACACAATCTACATTGTTTATATATGAACCTTCTTAACAAAAAAGACCAGTTTGCACTTTAAATTTTTCTACAAATCAATAATACATGCTACTATATTAGAATAATAAAAAGAATGTTTATATCCCTTAACTGGAGTATGTGCTGCAAAGCATTTCACAGGAATCTCACAGAAATTTAAGCAAGGAATATATTCTCCCAAACAACTGCACGTGCCTACTTACAACATACCACTATGGTGAAATGTTTGCACATTCATATAAACATTCATTAAATAGGCTGTGGAGGTTAAACCTTTTCTGTACAAATGAAAACCTAGGCACAGACTAGACTGAGAGGATGCAATTTTTTCAAATTTTGTCAAGCAGTTTCTCTAGATTGCAGAACAGCTACAAAAGGTCCTAGGGTTAATGGCTCCTGAGCTACAGATTGCTTAAACATAAGAACAAGAAAGATGGTGCCATTCTGTAACAGATAAGACAAGGTACATCAATTGTTTGATGAGCACAGGGGACAATACAACCAAATCTGGATAACGAACCTACCTACAGAATGTACTGCTGAGACAGAAAGACTCACCATATGTGCAATTTTTCTGTTTGTACCTTTCTGTATATTGCTCACAAAACACAGTTTTTTGTGTAGAGGGTAAAACAAAAAGATCCTAGAAAATGCGTTCAGACTCTGTGACTCTGGTTTAATTTCTTTTGAGTAACTGACCTATTCCAAGCCCCCTGCTGCAGGCACATCTGAAATGGAGACCTGCTTCACTGCAGGAAGAAAAACCCATCCCAAAACTCTGAGAATTAGAACTCTATGGCCCATCCCCTATTCTGTAGTAGTAATTTCATTTTACTATACGTTGATTCAGTGAAACTACACCAACTGAAAACTGGAGTGACAAAAAAGAGAGGTAGGCCCATAGCCAAGAAAAACAAAGGAAAGAGAAAGTTGACAATTATATCATAAAACCAAGCACTCAACAAAAGTCAGGAAACAGTTTTCAGCATTATGAGGGACTCGTTATACTCACATCACATGTATACGTCTGTCCAATCTGGAGCACATCAAAGTAACAGAAGAAACATCTTGGGAAACACAGTAACTTTGATAAAGGATATAAGAGGATTAATTAATACGGAATAGTAGGGGAAAATCTCAGATAGCACTCAGTATAAAAGAAAATGACCTTTCAGAAAATAAGTGACTGAAATCTTCAAATTGCCAACAGGGTAACTTTAGATAAGCACTATAACCAAACAGAAAACTCTGCAACATGAATGCATGTACGAAAGTTGAAAAAAGGGAAATAAATTTTTTTCTGGCAGAGGTGGGGAGCTTCTAAAAGGCAGACATTAAAGCAGTATAATAACTGTGTTAAAAATAACAGAATAAAATATATTAAAAATACAATAGGAGTCACTGAGCAGTCAAGTGTAGAAGTACCAAATTTCTACTTGCTCAATCTATAAAAATGCTACCACTACTATCTCTTGAGATACCATCATGAGGCTTCAGGTGTTTTTTAAATCCCAACTCCAGATTCTGGTATCTATTGATAACATAAGAACATGAACTACCTTGGAAAAAGAGGAAAGAGAAAGGAAGTTTCCTTGGTTATGAAGAAAAGTAATCTAAGGGCATACTAAAGGCAACATAATGCGAGTTAGAAAACCTTTTTTCCAGATTTCTTCTTCTGGGCACCTGAATCAGGGTTTCCAATATAGAAAGGTGATATATTCCTGATCATTTTCCGATGGTAAGAAAGAGTTTGGTCCCAGTTTGCAGGCACAGTATATAACTACCAATTCCTTCTGAAGAAGTAAAGTACAGAATTCATTGACTTATGACATTTTCTTTTGAAAAATATAAACTGTAAGCAAACATCACAGGCTGCTTTGCATTAAAGACTGACTTAATATTTTGATATGTTTTGGAAGAAGAAAACAAACCTAATAAAGAACAATTTATTTTTGAGAATGTGAAAATGAAAGTTTTCATTGCAGAAATACTGGTCTTTTTCTGATGACTTAGTATAAACTCCTGTCCCATTTTCAGCTCTTTTCAAAGTAATTCTACTAAAAGAGAAGTCATTATTTTAGAATTCTGGTTAAAAGCAGATGAATTCAAGACAAATATATTTATCATTTATTACTCAAAGTATATTAGATAAGCATCCTCCACGTTACAACTATCTGTGCCTAGTGACATGGGTGTGCCTGCAACTGCACCTTAGTTTGAATCGAGGAACTGAATCCCCTCTTTCCTTCTTTATGGTGTGCAGCATGGAGTGGTTTTAGAGCAAAAAAACAGATTCTTTTTGCGTGAAAATAAACCAGATAATACATTCTAGGAACACAATGATGACAATCTTGCCAAGAATTGACAGTCAGTCTGTGGGAGCTTTCCTCTAAACTCGTATAAAGAGGACAATGAACACTTAACTAACTGGTTTTTTTAGCACTAAGTGCTTCACTAAGCAAACTCACTCCCACCAGGCTGCTAGTGTAAACAGAAAAATTGGCCAAAGCGCACAAAAGCTAGAGAGATGTTAAATTATATACAACACTAAAATTGTCAAACTCTTTCTATTCAGTCCTCCCTTAATGATGGCATTCCAAGATAACAGAACAGCTCCAGGTTCAGCCTTTTTTCCATATGACATGCCCACTTGAATTAAATGGTCATTTTGGCTCAATCTGTCAAACAGCAAGACTGAATGTCTGTGGTTTTACTACTTGCTATTTACTACCCAGGTTTCACAAATAGTGTTTGGCATTTTGCCATGACAGAAGGGTAAAGGTTGGTGAGTGCTAAGGCTAAAAGACAAGAAAGTCTTAATGGCTGATTGTGGTTAAGAGGGATTATCTTCCTCAGAAGTTGTGCATATATTATTTGAGAAGACACAAATATAAAAACAATATGAGGTATAGATATTTAAATTAAAATTACAGTTCTCACTGAATTTTACAATGGGAAAGAGAAACTTGACTATTTACCTATGTAGTTGGTGCCTCCTGAGAGATAAAACAGGGATAAAAATTTTGTAGAGCTAACACTTGTGTCGTTACTATTTGCTCTGGTCATCTTTTGCATTATTTCAGTCAGTAGGCACATCTAAACTTTCTATATTTACCTGCACATTTCTCCAAGTGAAAAAGAATTCTAAATATTTTGAGCTGGAATTTTTCCTAATTCAGTCTCAATATTTGTCTTTTATCTCGTATCAGTACAATTATTCCTTCGATTATGTGAATAAGAACAGAATACATTTACCCGCTTATATTCTCATTTGAAGTTTATGTTCATATAAACACAACAGTAGAGAAAATTCAACACTTCTTGTATCACGTACCCCTTCAGTTCAAAACTTCAGCCATATCTGAAGACAATCCATGTTAGAATGTGTGAAAATATTCTGCGCATTCATGAAAGAACACAGGCAGATATTGGCAGGGGGCAGTCCAGCTAACGCCCTGCTCTGGTTTCTCCCAGGCCTATCACAGGAGCCGTCAGCCCACAGTCTGATGTGGAACCATCTCTACAATCACAGGGGCACCAGGACAGGTGGAAAACCAACTTAGAGAAAGGGACACTCTCTTCCAGCCCCTTCAATGGTGTCCCAGGAGAGCCTCAGTCCCAGTGTCTGGGCATGAAACCCAGCACAGTGGGTCAATTTGGAGTATCTGCCATGCTTCTGGGGTTTGCTGTCTAAGGGTGTCCAACACAATATAGGGTCGAGGGGAAGAGAATTTTGTAATTACACAGGATTTATGAGATGTTTAGGGGAGGAACTAAAGACAGGGAAAGACATGGATCTCCTTCTCACTTGGGGAGGAACAGGTGTTAGAAAACAGAGGGATCAGATCTGTGCGCACGTGTGGGTAGGGGGTCTAAGTGCCAGTGACTGGACTGAGACCCAGTTGGGGTCATGGATGACAGCAGTTGGAGATACTGAAGGGAGTAAAATTGTCAGGGAGTGAAATGGGACCAGGGGTCAAAAGCCCATGTCTCTAAGTGCAGGGCCACATGAGCAGCTGAACGCTAGAGGGACCATGGGAGTCCCAGTCAGCTGTCAGACACACCGTGAGGTGCAGGTATCTCTAGGGGTGAGACCTGCTAGGGTGCATGTGTGTCTCAAAGGGGCAGACAGCTCTGTGTGTGCATGTGTGCATATGGGAGAGGGTCTGTACCAGCAGCTGCATCAGGACTGCAGCTTCAGGACCTCATATGTCCAGTTGCCAGCAACTGGGGAGACTGGGATTCAGGGGCAACTGCTGAGCAGAGAGAGTGTATGAGCCCAACTGTTGGAAGCATCTACCATGTACACATCTATACACGTATATAGTCCCACTAGTGGATACCCATCCTGGTGAGCTAGAGAAGGGAGCGGGATGAGGCTGCAGGTGCAGTGTTTGTGCAACCATCTGTGCAGCTGGCCATTACATGTGGTGTATAGTGCTGTCTCTCTGTGGGCTGACCAGAAGCACATGCTGAGCCTTGCTGCTGGTTGGACCTGGGGCCATGCAGCTGTGGCACCTTCACCTACACTGAGCTGTCATATCTGGTCTGATTCTCGTAATACTCCTGTGTTATAAAGCTAAGTCAAAAGCACTCAAAATAAGGTTTCTCTCTCATTCTCATTGAGTGATACTTAAGATTTAACCAGCTCAGGGCATGATTACTAGTTTCCAATACCTATCACTTAGAAAACAGTTGAACAATTTTTCTTTCATTTTGTGCATCGCAATGTAACTAGGCGATGAAACCCTATCAAAACAGCAACAAGTAAACAAACTTGTAAAATTTGGTAAACTAAAAATATCTAGGACTACCAGAAAAAAAACAAAACAAAACAAAATGAGGCTGCATAGAAAAATCATATGAGAAAACCAGGTTGGAGCAGACCTCCAGGGATCATCCAGTTCAACAGCATGCTTAATTCAGGGACAACTTCAAAGATAGATCAGGTGAAGCTTTTTAAATCTCCAGGGCTGGAAAAGCAAAAGAGAGGATGTAATAGGAAGAGGAAAAGGAGCCACAGACCTATAAGCCTGGTAATGTGAAAAAAATAAGAAAAGAGGGGAGTACAAATGCAGACATATATGGGAGGGTTAAGAAACCTAAGTTAGGAGAGGAAGCTGAGACTGGTGTGATGGAGAGATTGAGAAGGAAGTGAAATCATCACTGGGAGTAGGAGACCAGATTAATATTAATTTTTTTAAGTGGCTGAGGGACGGTCAGAAAAACTAAGAGGGGTTACCATGGTGAGAAATTTGGATGGAAAAGAAAAATATTCAAAGAGGAAGGTGAAGAAAAACTAAAAGATTCAGGAAATAAATTCAGATCTTAAGAAGAGATGCTAGAAAAAGAGAAAGCCAAGGAATCAAAAATTAACTCCAAGGCGTTGGGTCCATATTGGTTGCATAGTAGACTTTTGCTGGTGAAAGGGAGAAAAAGAATAAGATAAAAATTACCCTTTATTCTAAGAGGGAAGCTGAACAATAGGATAAATGTTAAAGAACAGCAGTTTAAAAAAAGTGCAAAAAGTGACTTTTGTCCTTAGTTCACATTTGTTCTTTTTGTTTAAATTTTCTAGGACATCACTTTTATAGTTAAGCAAATCTAATATGACCAGAAGATAACAGATTGAATTGGAAGTACAGGATACAAATTACCAAATAATATCAGATCATCACTGAGTAATTAGCAGTACATCGTTTCTTCTGCTGGAGAAAGTGACTTGATGTGATTTGTACAGTACTTGTAAGCAATTAGCTTTTAAATGAAAAATGTAAATTGATAGTGTTTTATTTGCTTGTTCTTGAGAAAAAAAGTAGGAAATCCTTTGGATTCCTTTTTGAGCTTATATTGATGTTCAATTTAAATATGCCTAAAATCAATAATTAATTAGTAAATCTTAAGTTTTCAGGAAATTTCCAAATTTTTCTAATGTGTCTTTTCTTACATACTTGAGACATATATTTTAATTAAGATAATGTTCCTGCAAGCATAAGGAAATGTATAGTAATATAATAATTAAAGAGTAAATGAATGTGCTCTTTTAAATATATTCCCAGCCTTTGATAGAACTGACTTGATTTTTCATGTAGAAATACTTAATTGGAGTGCACCTACCAGAATATTAGTACTTCTCTATGAATGGGTATCTCAGACTACATAACGCAGATTTGATTTATTGATGTTGAATTGATTGTTTGTACAACTTAATTGGTTTCTGCACTATTATCCTATTGCCCCAGTATACCACATATATGCCACTGTGAGTGTATTATGGTACTGTGATACATGTTAATGGTCATAGGGCCTGATTCATCCAGGTCAGTCCTATTTTTTCAATTCTTTTTTTGAAGTCAGTAAATATTCTGCATAATAATTTTTAAAATTGAAGAAAATAAAAAAAGACCAGAGGGAAAATGTGAGCTAGCTCATACATGTTCCTCAGCATCTTCTGGCCATTCTAATAATACATTCACACATCACAGTCTTAATGTTTTTTTTCAGAGAATTATATTCTTTTGACTTGAACGTTTTCACTTCTTTGGTATTTTCTTCTGAAATGATTTGTCACTAAGTGCATGATGATATTTTTTTATGTTCTACCACTGATTCCTTGCAAAATTCACTGGATCGGTTTGAATGCAATTCGCTGTATGGTAGCACATATCTATGCAATGTCAAACATTATTGGCCATCAGCTGCATTGTTATCATTCTATACATAAAGACAATTCTATTTAAAAAAAAAAAAAGAAATCATGCTAAGTGATTATACCAAATCCCTAATCCTTCATAAAGACCCAGGACTTTTTAAACAATAATTTTATATGATGGGCTATTTCCTACTTCACTTGAAGAGAACAAAGTGTGTCGAAGCTATCGTAAACTTTGAAGTACCAAAGTGTCACCCTCCAGCTAACAATTCCTGTGTGAATGGCTGTGACCCGAGCCTGATTTGAAAAACACGTGTGATGATTCAGATAATGGATTTCTGGTAAAGAATATTTTATGCAGTACAAGAAACGATGATATCAAACTTGACAAAAGGAACTGGATGTCACATAACACTATGTACCTTGATATGCCTTGGTTTCCTGCCTGATTCCATTCTTTAAAGAGCAGAATTTACCAGTGATGCACAGGCACTCTGAGAGATCAAAAACTGTATAGGGGTTACATGCATTGGCCACAGATATTATTCTGATTTTGGGAAGGAAAGAATTGAGGTTAAGTGATCACTTCCTGCTTCTGTGGAGCTAGAAAGTAACTGGAAGGGATTGCTTCATGGTCACGCTAGCTTTTGGGCAGTCTGCCCTGGTAGAAACATGAAAAGCTGTCATAAACTCACAGGATATGGCTATGATCTAAAATACTAAGCACCTACATGGCAAAAGCTCCTTTGCAGGGTTTCTTACTGCCACTTCTCTCCATGTATCACCTTCATCCTTGTCTTCCGCAAGCCAGCACTCTATGGGGAGACAAAACTCTTCATCAGAACGAGGGACTACTCTTTCAAGTTTGACTTCCTTCAGGTACCAACTGGGATCATTTCCAGTGTTGTCATGGCCGATGCGGATTTTATATAGCTGCCCAAGATCTCTGAGATTAACCTGTAATGCAGAAAAAAAAATACAGATTTTAATAACAAATTATGGTGTTGTCTTTTAGCCATCCTTACACCGAGCATGCAAGCTAAATGTACAGCTAATGTGGACTAGAGTAATGGGGCTTTTTAGAAAATGAAGCCTTAATATACAATGAATCCCAGAGCAGTTGAGCAGAAGCCTATGGAGTAGTCTGCAAGTGTAATTTTATTGACTTCAGCACCATATTATTTAAAGTGACTAAAGGGCTCAGACATTCCAGTCTGTTTTTAGACCTCTTCACAGCATCCAGTTTCTAGTGTTATAATGTAAATCTCTATTTCTAGACAAATACTTTAACAAGCAGAAATAAGTTCAGTCATTGCTGCATGAAATAATATGTTTGGAATCCATACGGTTATCATCAGCAGAGTGCTATTAACTATTCCTACCACTTATCAGTCTGCTAGGTTTTTCTTTGACTTCTATTTTCATGTGCACTGGTGTCAGGGTTAACTGTTTCTGTAAGTGCTGATGCCACACTATGGCAAATTTAAACAATAAAACATGACTATGTCACATTGAATACTGCAGCCTTGAAATAAGAGCAACTATGTTTTAGGTTGCAGAAGTTTTTTCAGCAATGTTGATGGCAAGAACCTAAGCACAAAAGCAGGGTTGACCACTTCAATTTTCAGTACTGGGTTTGAAAGATCATGGTATTTGGGAAAGAAATCAGTAAGAAAAAAAAACAGAAAAAAATAGTTGTTTCTTTTACCATTTTACCAATTTTGTACTTTCTCTCATCAAAACAAAAAACAAACAAACAAAAAAAAGCTTGACAAACAGTTAACACCAACATTGTCCCAGTAGTCCAAATCAACAAAAAAGATTAACTAAGGTCTGTGTTTGAAGGTCTGTTGTGTCTGTTCTGGCTGGTAATATCGATGTCTGCCCCAGAGTGAGAGTTTCCCCTTCAATATTCTTTACAAAGGAAGACAACAAGGTAATGCTCCTTGTCTCTGTGGAGCCAGGAAATGTCAGAGACACTAGAGACATATCACTTTCACTCTTTTGTCAAAACATTTTCCGAGGCAATGACACAGGTTAGTGTAACACTGACATTTCTTGGTCACAATGACCATCACAGAAGAGAGTCTTACAGCCCTAATTGAACACCATTTCCTTGAATCCTTGCGGTGAGCCTGGCACAATTCAGTCTCATAGGGTGAGATCATGACACCTATGCTAGTAGTATAAAGTCTGCACAGAGTCACACTTATGACCATAGTAGTAGGTTTTGCTATATTAAAACAGTATGTTAAAGTAAGATGTGCTAACTGAAGGTATAACTGTAGCATTAATGCAATAAAACCATGTACATCAAAAATATGTCGCTAATATTCACAGCAGAATTACAGCAACAGATAAAAAGCACTCTGAAACTAGCCAAAAATGTAGTCAGCACATAGGCTAAGTTGCCATAATAACCCTGTCACCCAGCTACAAAACAGAGACCACTGCAGTGGGCAAGGGACTGCTAAGGTTGCCTCGCAAATAAATAGAAAAATATATTAGAACTCTCACCCTTTATCTTACCCTTTATTGCAAACCGAATAAAGTGTGATGCTCTCCTGAAATCTAGGCACTGGCTGCTATTTGCGGTGCAGAAGTCTTAAAGGGCAATTTAGTAAAAAAAACATTGAAACCTTGTGACCTCATCTCCATGATTAAATTCTGGCATAACCCTGTTGAAAGAGAAGCATCACAGCCATTTTTTGTACAGTATTCATTGCCATGATTCTTGGTCAGGACCAGGAAACTCTATCAAAGAGCCTCTTTCAACTTCTGAAGCATCTAATTAGTCTTTTGTCTATGAAGCAAACTGAAACTATTGATAAAGCAAATTGTACATATCTATAGTACACATCATATGAGATGGCTCAAAAGTGAAGCTATAATTTTCTTAATTATATTTATTTATCATATTATGCTAAAGTGAATTTTTTTTTAGAAGAAAGTCTAAGATGGTAGGTATATTTCCAGGTGAATTCCCCTGCAATGACCAGAGACATCTTCCACTAGACCAGGTTTCTCAGAATCCCATCCAAACTGATCATCAATGATTCCAGGGATGAGGCATCCACCACCTCTCTGGGCGACCCATTCCAGTGTTTCACCACCCTCATTGTAAAAAACTTCTTCCTTATATCTAGTCTAAAACTACTCTCTTTTAGTTAAAAGCCATTAGCTGTCACCCTATCACAACAGACCCTGCCAAAAGTCCATCCCCATCTTTCTTATAATCACAAAATCATAAAATCATCAAGGCTGGAAGAGACCTTCAAGATCATCTAGCACCACCATAATCACCCCTAAACCATATCCCTAAGTGCCACATCCAGACACTTCTAGAACACTTCCAGAGACAGTGACTCCATTGACGCCCCTGGATAAATTATTCTAATGTCTAACCACTCTGTCAGTGAAAAAAATTTTTTCTAATATATAATCTGAACCTCCCCTATTGCAATTTATGGCCTTTTCCTCTTGTCCTTTCACTTGATACTGACTCTCATCTCACTACAACCTTCTTTCATGAATCTGGTCTAGACAGACAACATCCATAGCCTTTCCCTCACACTGAGTCAGGTTGGTCAAGCAGGACTTGCCTTTCAATCAATGCATGTTGATTGGGCCTGATCCCCTGATGGTCCTGCATACGTCATGCAATGGCACTCAGGGTGATCTGCTCCATGACCTTCCCTGGCCCCAAGGTCATGCTGACAGCCCTGTAGTTCCCAAGATCATCCTTCTGACCCTTCTGGCAGATGGGTGTTACATTTGCTAATTTTCAGTCCCTTTTAAAAGACTGGAAATAAGCCCCTTAAGTACTGAAATACTGAAATAAAGTCTCCCCAGAGCCTTCTCTTCTTCAGGCTGAACAGCCCTAACTCTCTCAGACTTTCTTCATAGGAGAGGTGCTATAGCCAGATGACCATTTTTGTGGTCCTCCTCCTGCTGTTCTCCAGCAGACCTATTTCCTTCTTGTGCTAGGGACCCCAGAGCTGGATACAGTACTCCAGGTGGGGTCTCACCAGAGCAGAACAGAGGGGCAGAATCACCTCCCTTGTCCTGTCAGCCGCATAGCAGCGGATGTTTAGCAGACCACTGGTATAACTGAAGAAAAGAGATCATAAAAATAAGCACATGTAGGAGACCCGACCAAAAAAAAAAAAAAAAAAAAAAAAAAAAAAAAAAAAAAAAAAAAAAAAAAAAAAAAAAAAAAAGGGAACAGAAAGCTCTGTCCAGACCATTAGGTTTTTGAAAAATCTCAAAAATAATTAAAAACACAGAACACTGCCAAGCTGATAACATGCTTAGTAATACAGTTAATATTTTTGCTTAATATTCTGTTTCTGACTAATTGTTTATGGGTGTTCTTGGGGGGGGGGAATTGTGTTTATTCTTGCATGGAAATTAAGACAAGAATGTCAATGGCAGAGAGCAAATCAACTGTATATGATGTTCTGGAAGATGTATAATACAATTACAAATTTAGTTTCAGTACCAGTTTCATTTTTGGAACAATTTATCTTGCTGTCAGATCAGATATCACATTGGTCTCTCAGTGGTATTGACTTGCTAACATGTTAGTTTTTGTCAATTGGAATCCTGTCAAATGTATGTCAAATTTTGCTTTTGCAGTGAAACGCAGAGGAAAACACTCTTATAACACAGTAGAGCTAATGATATTCTTTTGACAACATAAACACTGTGTCTTAAGGTTGTTTCTTCATTTCTAGTGTTGACTAAATTGCCTTGAAATTCTGCATGACTTGAATGCAACCTGGCATCTAGAAATCTGCTTTCACAGCCAGAACATTATGAAAAAAGTTGTAAAACAAAGTTGACTTTGTTGCCCTCATAAACAACCTGCTTACAGAAACCTTAGTCTAGCTGCTCTGTATTCCAGCACCACAGATGCAAAAGTAACATTCAATTTTATATGGAAATAGCCATTCTGATAAAAAAGCAATAAAAGTCAAAAGAGGAAAGAATGGGTCTCAGGACTAAAGCATTGTTCTGAAAATCAAGCAACTAGATTCTACTCCTGAATCTGCTTTAGGCTTTCTGAGAAACATTACATAGTTCACAAGCCCTCTTTGCTTCACTTTCTCAACTATACAACAAGAAAAACATGTACGTGACTCCTACAGGGACATTGCAAAGCTCTCTTCATAAATGTTGAAATCCTCAGGAAAAGACACTAGTCGAAAATTCTGTATTTTTTTCTAAAATTTTCTGTTCATTTTGGGTTAGTTGCTGTTTTTCCATAACTGAATTGAGAGATCAAAAATTATCAATTGTAATTCTCTTGACTAACTTTGTAAAGCTCGTATTTTTGCTCAAGAATGATGTGATCTCATCTACAGTCACCTGGACTCTCATATAATCATGCAATTTCTGTTGTGACTAGCAGAATTTGTGCAGACAGAATAAGAGAGGAATAGCAACAACCTTCTCAGCAAATATGTTGTAAATCTACTGAAGAATGTGGTGAATATAATAAAGACACTCCTGCACTGCACTGTGAGTGGATATTGCGGGAACGCAAACCTCCTAAATGACAACGGTACAGGGAGATAGACAGCTGATGTATTTTGGGATAGTTCTACACTGCCCTGAACAAACCTGTTAAGAGTCCTAGCCACTGTGCACCTGAGTTAGCACAGTAGTCACTCAGACTGACCAGTGTCCTGCTTCCCATGGCACCCTGCTGCTGGTGAGCACTGACCAGCAGTGTTGCAGCACAAGTAGCAGCTTGAGACTAATCCTTGCTGTTCTCTGCAACAGAGCATTGTCAAAATCATCAGACATCAAGTCCTCAGCCAAAGCACACGGTCAAACCATTGCAGAGTTTCAAACATCTGTTGATTAAACATATTAAAAACTGGCTTGCAAAGTGTCTTCCTGTAAATTCTTCAGCTTGATGTAGTAGAGTTTGGACATGGATGGAAATTCAA